TTTTTTGGAAGTGCAATTTTAGGGCTAATTTCGGGGTTTTTTCCCTGGGATGTGATGTGAAAGCCCTTGTACCCCAGGGATTAACTGGGAGCCCAAACTACTTTGGACTCTTGAATAACTTTATGATCTTACTCATCTGTGAAAGTTTGAGAGTTATCGGTGAGATGGCATGTGTCACGCCTGCCTGGTCCTCTCGTGGACAGACTCTTAATACTCAACTTACTATTAATTTTGTTCAGACTTGCAGGTACAGCTAAGCAATAGTAGTAGCCAGTGTTTATTCATTTATTTAATGTTGACTGGTTGGATTATCAGTCCAACACTTTGCCACTGCTGCTTTTATGTATTCCTTCAAATTAGGACAGGACTTGTTTTCTAGGCTACTGCATTTTTTAAAAAAGATCATACGGTGTTGTTCTCCCTGACCTTTTTCCTGCGCATTGTAAACACTTAAAGCTCTACCCTAAACACTGAGTTAAAATTAATGTTCTTTTTAAGTCATTCCATACCTGTAGGCCTCCTAGAAGGACCAACTATTAGATGTCCAGTACATATAAACACATAATAACTTGTCTGTGTCAAGAAAACCGACAGACGTAGACTAAAGATTGCATGTGACAGCGAAGTTTCGAGCAGTATCGACAAGATAATAACTGTCTTTTAGAAAAAAATAATTTGCTTGTCTGACTTGTGGCAGTCTCTCATCAGGCTCTGAAATCAGTTGCATTGGTAAGTAGTGCATGTCCACATAAAAATGTGTAAAGGTCTTTGTCAGGCTCTTATCCTGCTCTTGGCCTCCGAGACGATGATAGTGACGATGATGATTCTGAGGAGAGACCACAGAAGCCAACAAGAGCACAAAATAATAACCGAGGCTATCAACACGCTTTCATCCTATAGTCTGTTTGCTGCAGATGGAGCTGACGAGATTCGTCAAAACATGAGTCAGATCGCATACATCATCGAGAAAAACATTCGCAAATCTCAGAGGCAGCTCGCAATTGACAGCTTTCAGGCTAGTAAGCACCTTTTATATTGGTCACTGTTCTGCTTTTTGATTGTTCTTATGAAATTTAAAAAAAAAACTGTTTTGTTGATGAAAACATTTGAAATACGTTCAGGTATTACAAACTGTTCACTAATATCACGAAAATAGGGTAAATAAAGACAGTTATGCAGGGGTAAAAATTGCATATTTATTTTTGACCCCTATAATTCGAACCCCCGATAATTCGAACTATTTTGCTTTAATTTCCCTTGAGACTTCGAATTATCAGGGTCCAACTGTAGTTACACATCAGAGAAAAGAGACCAAATTGAATAAGCAACGTTTGTATTGAAATTAAGCTCTCTGGCCTGAGTGTCTGATACAAGTGCTATATGAGAACTTCTTAGAGAAATATTGGCATTTGTTGAACGATGGGCTGAAAAAGCTGCCTGGCCCCATGACATGCGAGGTGAAAGATAAAAAAGAAAGAGAGAGAGCAAAGTTACATGATAAAATGCTAATTGACTGCACTACACATTGGTCGTATGGGGCGAAAATGCATGTATAATGATTTGTTTGCTCTTTAACGGCAAGTAAATTCACTTTAAGTTAATGTGTACATGTATGAGCGTTGCAAAGTTGGGATTATTATTTGTTTGCTGTATTATGGCAGCTCTAAATCTTGCCTTTCATCCACCCTTATGGATGGGCTTCATGGCGATTTCATTATTTCAAATGTAAGAATGCAAGGGACCCAAAAAGGAAAAATGTACGTTACAATAAAACTTACATGTAAAACAAGAACTCCCCTAACCTAATACAAAGAAATTGTTTTGGAGAATTTTGAAACAAAGTGATTAAAGTTAACATTGATTTAAGAAAACGGAAAAATTAATAAATATGCCATGGTTTTCCCTGACATGTCAAGTGTAGCCTTGGACTTTAAAATGTTGTGCTTGGCAGCATTTTAAGGCTTTGGTAACAATTGTTTAGGACCTCCCAGTTTGTAAATAGCATACATTGAATAAGGAAAGTAACATTTCTAGAAATCAAGGCTGAAAAATTTTACTATTCCACCAATTTACAAGAAAAAGAGAAATATTGGCTCGCATCTTGTATCTTTTATTCAGGCATTGCATATCTTTTATTCAGGACAAACTTTCTAGTTGTCCTCACAGCAATGATCTCTGTCCCATGTTTATAAACTAAAGAAATTTGAGAAACCTGCATCGAAGTATTTGAAGGGATCTCAAAGGGATAAGGGTACAAAGAAATTTAGATTACTGGAATTAAGTTAACTCCATAACTTTGAGCATGCATGTGTGGTTAATACTGATGTACATGTGTAAAGCTCTTTACATGTACTTTAATTACCTCGATTAATGCCCATTGGTGCAATTGATTGTAGTAATTTTCCTTACCTACTACTTCCACTTGAATCATACGCTTCCAGTTCCCATTACTTAAAGTGCTCACCACACAGCTAAATGCTCCATTCACCTTATCATCAGCACTTGTAACCTTAGAAATAGTCAAAGCAACTCTTCCTGGGGGATTCCAATCCACATTGAAGCGATTGTGGAATGCAGCAGTTATCCCACCACTTCCTCCATTTGGCAAAAGTCTCACTATCAGATCAGAATTGAAGTTAATGTCCACTATAGTGATGCTTAGATCTTGAGTGAGACTAAAATTCCACACAAGTGTAGCAGCTTGTCCATCATGATGTTGTGAAATGTTTGGGGCGAATGTATCACTTGAACTTGATGCTATTTGAACTGGAGGAGGTTTATACCAAGTAATTTGTGTGCCACCTACATGTGAAAATAGAACACAAATTAATAGCTATTTAAAAATGGCTACATTCTTAGAAAAACTACAAGTTGCAACAAATTAAGGAATACCTCTGAGATCAATTAAACCCTACCATGTCAACAAGCATGAAAAAGCACATTATTTTTAGAGGGGTTTCAATAAGGATCAGGCACTGGGAAAATTGATTGGCTGTGAAGACAATTCTACCTGGCTGCTCTTAAAAGGTTAACCAAAAGAACACTCTCAGTTACTACCCTTGCAATAATCATCAGCAGCAGTAACAAACAGAATTATAAAAATTATATGAATTACGTTTCCAGATGGGACTTGAACCCACGACCCTCCGTGATCTAGTCGGATGCTCTAACCACTGAGCTACAGGAGACTCTATGGTGAGCAAGGGTCAATTAGTGGGTATTGACTGGAACCGCATCACGCGGCTACACAGCCAAACATCAGCTAGCGCATAGAAGCTCACTAACAGCATCACGCTGTCACATTAAAGCATCACATGCATTAAAGCATCACATGCAGCCAACCAGCCTCCAAAGTGAGCATGTAAAGATGAAATAAACAATTTTTAAAAATCGAGTTTCCAGATGGGATTTGAACCCACGACCCTCCGTGATCTAGTCGGATGCTCTAACCACTGAGCTACAGGAGACTCTATGGTGAGCAAGGGTCAATTAGTGGGTATTGACTGGAACCGCATCACGCGGCTACACAGCCAAACATCAGCTAGCGCATAGAAGCTCACTAACAGCATCACGCTGTCACATTAAAGCATCACATGCATTAAAGCATCACATGCAGCCAACCAGCCTCCAAAGTGAGCATGTAAAGATGAAATAAACAATTTTTAAAAATCGAGTTTCCAGATGGGATTTGAACCCACGACCCTCCGTGATCTAGTCGGATGCTCTAACCACTGAGCTACAGGAGACTCTATGGTGAGCAAGGGTCAATTAGTGGGTATTGACTGGAACCGCATCACGCGGCTACACAGCCAAACATCAGCTAGCGCATAGAAGCTCACTAACAGCATCACGCTGTCACATTAAAGCATCACATGCATTAAAGCATCACATGCAGCCAACCAGCCTCCAAAGTGAGCATGTAAAGATGAAATAAACAATTTTTAAAAATCGAGTTTCCAGATGGGATTTGAACCCACGACCCTCCGTGATCTAGTCGGATGCTCTAACCACTGAGCTACAGGAGACTCTATGGTGAGCAAGGGTCAATTAGTGGGTATTGACTGGAACCGCATCACGCGGCTACACAGCCAAACATCAGCTAGCGCATAGAAGCTCACTAACAGCATCACGCTGTCACATTAAAGCATCACATGCATTAAAGCATCACATGCAGCCAACCAGCCTCCAAAGTGAGCATGTAAAGATGAAATAAACAATTTTTAAAAATCGAGTTTCCAGATGGGATTTGAACCCACGACCCTCCGTGATCTAGTCGGATGCTCTAACCACTGAGCTACAGGAGACTCTATGGTGAGCAAGGGTCAATTAGTGGGTATTGACTGGAACCGCATCACGCGGCTACACAGCCAAACATCAGCTAGCGCATAGAAGCTCACTAACAGCATCACGCTGTCACATTAAAGCATCACATGCATTAAAGCATCACATGCAGCCAACCAGCCTCCAAAGTGAGCATGTAAAGATGAAATAAACAATTTTTAAAAATCGAGTTTCCAGATGGGATTTGAACCCACGACCCTCCGTGATCTAGTCGGATGCTCTAACCACTGAGCTACAGGAGACTCTATGGTGAGCAAGGGTCAATTAGTGGGTATTGACTGGAACCGCATCACGCGGCTACACAGCCAAACATCAGCTAGCGCATAGAAGCTCACTAACAGCATCACGCTGTCACATTAAAGCATCACATGCATTAAAGCATCACATGCAGCCAACCAGCCTCCAAAGTGAGCATGTAAAGATGAAATAAACAATTTTTAAAAATCGAGTTTCCAGATGGGATTTGAACCCACGACCCTCCGTGATCTAGTCGGATGCTCTAACCACTGAGCTACAGGAGACTCTATGGTGAGCAAGGGTCAATTAGTGGGTATTGACTGGAACCGCATCACGCGGCTACACAGCCAAACATCAGCTAGCGCATAGAAGCTCACTAACAGCATCACGCTGTCACATTAAAGCATCACATGCATTAAAGCATCACATGCAGCCAACCAGCCTCCAAAGTGAGCATGTNAGCTTTGTATGGCTGGATTGAGGGATTGGAATTTTGCCCTTTGAGATCCAGTATTAATTAAGGGATGGCTGAAATAGAAACTCCCTTAGTTTGATTTCATTACACACACAATGTATATACTAAGCTGTTTTTTCCCCACTGTCTTGCAATATCAAAGAACATATGTGGCTGCTTTTTGTTGATATTCAAGCAATTCTTATTTGATTTTATTACATGACTCAGGCAGTCAGTGGGCCAATAACTAAAATCAACCAATCAAACTCTATTGATGGTCAATATTCTCTCAGTATTGGAGCAGGCACTGTCCCAAATGGTCCCGAATGATACCACACTTGTGTCCCTTTGAACTTCACTCATATAATAAATCTCTTATTAACCAAGCTTGCTCGGGACCATACTGGAAGAATATCGGCCCTCAGTCATTTTTGTATGGACCTTGCTGCGCTCGGTCTGTACTGTCAAGACCTCGCGCTGACATTCTCCCAGTACGGCCCTCACGCTTGGTTAATAAGATATATGTCTCTCTAATGTAACCAAGGCTGAGTTGGGCAACTCCCTCTAGCCTCCATAAATAATTCACACATTGATTACCTACAGTCAATGCTCAATTCTTTTTTTTCTGGTGGTTAGGAAAAGAAATCAAGTGGTTTAAAATACATATAATTATGTTATTCACCAGACAGAGGTCTGTATTGGGAAAAAGTGTGCCTAAGGTCTTGAATTCCACCCATTACTCAAGACAGAGGGCACAGTTATTCCAGTAGGAACCAACCTAAGCTGGCAAATAATATTTGAATTTTTTCTAACAATTAAAAAGAATGCTTGCTAAAAGAACCAGCATGAATTTAGGGTTAAAATTAGGAGTTTGACTGTGAGAAGATCCTCCATAAACTTAACAATTTTTTGTACGAATATTTAACTTGTCTTTTTTGCCATGAAAAACTTTTTTTCTGAGAAATTAGGTTAAAAACAAGGATGCACATTATACTGGCCAGGGGTAAATACAGTACTTACAGCAGTTTGCACATTTTTAGGATCTCCTCTAGATTACATCACTTTCTTTTTGGATCATTACTAGTAGGTTCCAACATTTAAAGTACCACATTTAAAAAAAACTTTCAGTTTTTGACAATCAGTACAGTCACCTTTTTAATTCTTTGTTTGTTAAATGTTTCTGTTCTCTTCTGTTTTGTTCATTTTAGGTATAGTACATAAAGTGCGAGTTGTTCTCTTTTTTTAAACACTGCAAACAGTCAATTGCTTGCTTGACAATTATACATGTGCAGTTGTAAATTATGTTGTAATACAGGGCTCAACACTAACTTTTTAACTTACTAGCCAAGTGGCTAGAGACATCTTACATGTTACAACAATTGCAGTTTGTTTAATAGCCAAAATGGCCTAGCAGAAATCAAACACCTAGCCAAAACTGAATTTCTACTAGTCTGTGGCTAGTTGGCTACCGTTAATGTTGAGCCCTGGTAATATGTGATATACATGTAGTACACTGAGTGTAATGTCTGTTAGTTACGTCAGTTTTGGTAAGTGATAATAATTGTTCGTAATAGTTATGCAAGTAATGCTAGTTTTGTAATTTGGATGAAACAAAATAAACACTAATGAAATAGAAGAAGATAAAAAAGGGGTTTAGTTAAGTGAGAGTTTATGTATTTCCAGACTTAGAGATCCCTAATGGGCCTTCAATGAAAGTTTGAAGTCGTGGGCTGCTTCACCTGACATTACTAAAACCAAATTGTTTCCCTTCCCTCCCCTTGTGTGTGATTGTGTGTGACTTGGTGATTGTTCTGAGTATAAGCCTGAATTGGTATTTAAAATGTATTTGGATGTAGGATATGTTTTCAATAATTATTAATTTTTGTCCCTAGAAATTTTGACCTTCACTGTAGCCATTCAGTTTGTAATCTGCTGTTAGCTCAAATGCCAACACATTCATTGAAAAACTATGCAGTAATTACTCATGTCTGGTAAATGTTAAGTACTACATGTATCTTGAGGAAATGAGAATGTACATGCACAATTAATGGTGTACATGTGCTAGTTATCTACATTACTGAAGGTTTCCAAGTAGCTTCTATCAATACCTATTAGTAAACAAAAATAGCTTCAGCTTTAATGGCTAAAGCTAAAAAACAGCAAAGACCAGCTGTTACCCATTCCCCTCTTCACTCAGTTCCTGAATTATTCTCTAAAATCTACTGCTATTTTACTCCTCAATTATGAAATGAGAGAAAATTCCACTTGTAACTCAAAGTTCCATCCCCTTTTTAATAAAAATTGGAGTGGGTGGTTAGTTAGCCAGCACTATCAATCCATTGAAAAGCCATTCAATAAGACCATTTATATTATCATAACACTTTATGGACCTGTTGAAGTAGTGATAATTAATATAT